AGGAACCAGAATCAAAGGGAGGCTCCTATCTAGGGCAGAGCTTACAACCTTACCCAGGCAGGATGCCGACGCCGACCCGGATGTAGTACAGGGTATGTATACTATCTGTGACCATATTGCTCATGTTTTATTTGACACTGGTGCATCGCACTCTTTTGTTTCACATACTTTTGCTTCCAAAATTAATGTATCACCTGATAAACTTGAATCATTGTTGTTTGTGTCTACTGTCGGGGGTGAAACACTACTAGGGAAAGCTATCTATAGGGCTTGTGCCGTGGAGATAGCAAATAGGGAACTGAGGGTAGACCTGATAGGGTTAGTTCTATCAGTATACTAATTAATACCATATATTCATTCTTACAATTATTTTTATTTAATTATAATTTTTCATCCATACTTTATAACTAATAGTTATACATATTGTTTTCCTCTACAATGACAATATAATTTATTTTGTATAGTTGCCTACTTATGGATTAATTATGAACAATCTTAAATATTTTTAAATGCATATTATTGCTACCTAACTTGAGGGAAGATGAAGACATTTTTAACCTTACAACAAATTAAAATATTAAACACATAGAGTTCTATAGTAATACATAAAATAATCAATTGTTGAATATATTGCAAAGTTTATGCAATAAACCATCATTACCAACATGAACTAAATAGATTATTAGAGGATAAATTTTGAATATATAAATTTAATTCTACTATTAAAATATATTTTTGAAAATCGGCTTGATCATAATACAGAAAAAAATAATAATAAAAAATTTTAAATTTACTATGAATTCAATTGTATAAATAAATAACGAAGATAAAATTATTTAATACAAAAAATTTGTTAGTTTTTTTTGAATAAATTGAAAATATTTATTGTCAAAGAAATTAAATTGTTTTTGAAAATAAGTGATATAATTGGGAGTAACAAGCTTATGTTTATGATTGAATTGATTGAAAGTATATAATGTATTAAAACATGGAAGACATTGCCATAAGAATCTATTATAAGATAAAAGAATTTGGACCCATCTCCGACCAAGCTTCTAACTAGTGTTTCATAATTTATAAAGTTTAGATTAAAATATTATTTTTATATTATGATTAATTGATACGCAAGTAATAATCAATGTATTAAAAATTAATTGATACGTACGAAAATAAAATAAAATATTATATTAGAAAATTTTAAAAATAACATACAATTATATCATAATACCCAAATACTTCAAAATAAATTGGACAGAATGAAAATAGAATTTGAATTTATTCATAAATATTATATTATTTGACTAAGGAAAGAAAAAGTACTTTAAAAAAAAAACATTTAGTGTAAATTAACCTGTCTTTTATTAAAAAAAAAAAGTCACATTTAGTTTTATTTTGCTTTTTTTTTGGGCCCACAGGATTGTATAATATTGACCGTCTGATTTGGACGGAGTGTGTGGGTCCGGGCACAGGATATTATGATCCTCTCTCATCATAATATCCTTCTTGCTGGAGGCGCTTCCACATTATCCATCACCGCCAACCTTTTCGAAAAAAAAAATTTAAATTATTTTTTCTTATTTATTATTCATATAATTAATTAACTCGATTTTTTTTAATATTTGTAGTTAAATGATATTAATATGATTATATTGTATTTAAGATTTTTTATGATATGTATGTATATATATATATATTCAATTTATTTCAATTTTAGAAAAGAATTTCATACAAAATTCAAACGTTATATTATTTAAATGCAAACATATTTATTTCTAAAATATGATAAACATTCTAAAAATAAGTATTTTAATAAATATGAATAATTGATTATATACAACATTTAATTAACCATATTTAAAAATAAACAGCAAAATTTTTAAAAATGATTAAACTAATTAAATGTATTTATTTACACTAAGAAAAAAATAGGTTATATAATTAAATAATTTATCAGAGTGATTAATATTTAATAAATAGTTTATTATTTTTCACCGTATTTTAGGTATAACCACGTGAGTTTTGGGAGTTCGAAATTGCAGTGTAAGCAACCCACCAAAGCAAGCTGTCTCAATCAAGAAAGTCCAAAATTTTCTCCAGAAAATTTCAAAGCCGAAAAAGTTCTCAGTTATCTTCACCTTTTTGCAACCACTTGAACCAAAAAAGAAAAAGAGAGAAACTGTTCAGCTTCTTGAGAAAATAACAATTGTGTGTAAAGTATCTATGTACGTACAGGAAGGAGGGAGATATATATTTAAATGGTGGCATGCCTTGTCGGCCATTAGAGCTTCAAAGAATGGAGCTACGACCCGTCTCTTTGATTCAACCGTAGATCCCCTTCTCATTATCTTTTTCATTGATTCTCAGTATCTTTAATATAATTTACACTTACCCATAACGGACTTCTCTCTCTCTGCCTCTTTTTCTCTTTATTATGTTGAGGGAGATCTTCATGGGTTGGGGAAAAAAAAAAGGCCAAGTAGATTCCTGCGTCCTTTTGGCGGTTTTCAGATCTTATTTTTGGTTTGAAGTGAAGTGGGTTTTTCTTGTACTTGCTGCTGATTCATGAATTCCCTTGTTCTTTCTTTCTGCTTTCATGGAGTTGGTCTGAATGTTGCTGCTATTAATTATTATCTCTTCTTTGATGGATGAGTGCTTTTTCCAGGTAAGAAACTTAACTTGTATTTGTTTTGATATTTGTTGGGTTTGTTTCTCAGTGTCATATAGCAGTTGCCATTGTGGTTGTTGATTAAAATTTACAATGCTTGCTTTCTTAAATTCCGTGTTTTCTAAATATAGATTTGTTTGATGCATTCAAATGATTGAACACTCGTATTAGCATGCCTGCCAGACATGGTTAAGCATTTACTTTGATCTCTTTGTTCTCCTTGGAGCTTGAGTTTTCTAGCCTCATGTTCACAATTCTTATATCTGTTTCTGAATACGTATATTGCAATTTAGATTTCTAAAAATTTTAAAAGTTATTTTTCATCTATATTCTTAAATTCCTCTTATCCACAAATTGGTTTTGAACATTCTGTTTTGGAGTTGATTTTGAAGTTGGCTCTTCTGGAAATTATGAGATAGAATATGACTTTCTGGCGAGTGTCAAAGCTTTTTTTTTTTCTTTTAAGAATTTCTCACTAAGAGATCCCTTCATATGCAGATTCAAGATTTTATCAGATTGTGTGATGAATTTGATGGAACCAAGGGTCACTAAAATGTTGAGGAATTTAAAGTTAGGAAGATTTTTGGATCTTGGATTTGCAGGGTTCATTCTTGTTGCTATACTTTTGCTCCATACTTCAGAGGGTTTAAATCATGAGGGGCAATGCCTATTAGAGCTGAAGAATGGCCTCCATGATGAATTCAACTATCTGGAGAACTGGAAGTCTACTGATGACACACCTTGTAGGTGGATAGGTGTGAATTGCACTTCAGGTTATGATCCGGTGGTCGTGTCTCTTAATTTGAGTTCCATGAATCTGTCTGGAACACTGAGCCCCAGCATTGGTTGTCTGATCAACTTAATATATCTGGACCTTGGTGACAATGAGTTAACTGGAAGCATGCCTAAGGAGATTGGAAACTGTTCCGTGTTGGCATTCCTTTATTTGAACGATAATCAATTCAGTGGGACCATTCCTGCTGAATTGGGTAGACTGTTCTATCTGAAAAGTTTGGATATCTGCAATAATAAAATATCTGGTTCTCTTCCAGAGGAGCTTGGCGACTTATATCACCTGGATGAGTTTATGGCATTCACCAACAAATTGACTGGTCCACTGCCACGTTCGATAGGAAATCTGAAGAATCTGAGAGTATTACGAGCGGGACAGAATGCATTCTCTGGTAGCCTCCCTGCAGAAATTGGAGGGTGTCAAAGCTTGGAAGTACTTGGTCTTGCCCAGAATGTTATTGGAGGGCAAATTCCCAAGGAAATTGGTGTACTGGGGAGCTTGAAAGATTTTATTATGTGGGATAACAAATTGTCAGGTTTTATCCCTGAGGAGCTTGGAAATTGCTCTCATCTGGAGACCCTTGCATTATATGGAAATTGTCTGGTGGGACAAATACCAGCAGAACTTGGGAATCTCAAGTTTCTGAAGAAGTTATACCTATATAGAAATAAGTTGAATGGAACCATTCCAAAGGAAATTGGAAATCTATCTATGACAACAGAAATTGATTTATCAGAGAATTATTTAACTGGTGAAATTCCAATTGAGTTGGGCAAGATAAGAGGTTTAAAATTGTTGTATCTGTTCCAGAACCAGCTCACTGGGATTATACCAAACGAGTTTAGTAACTTGAGGAACTTAACAAAGATTGACCTCTCCATCAATTTTTTGACAGGCCCTATTCCATTTGGTTTTGAATATTTGACAGAAATGCGTCAGTTGCAGCTTTTTGACAACTCTCTGAGTGGCAGCATTCCTCGGAGGCTCGGACTACATAGTCCACTTTGGGTGGTTGATTTTTCAAATAATCACCTTTCTGGAAAAATACCTCCTTATCTTTGTAGGCATTCGAACCTAATTTTGTTGAACCTTGGTTCTAATAACCTGTATGGAAATATTCCAACTGGGGTCATGAATTGCAAAACATTGATACAACTCCGTCTGGTAGCAAATAGGCTTACTGGTAGCTTTCCTGCAGAACTGTGCAAATTAGTGAACCTTTCTGCTATTGACTTGGACCAGAATGAGTTCAGTGGACCAATTCCTCCAGAGATAGGGAACTGCCAAAAATTGCAAAGGCTTCATGCTGCAGCAAATTATTTTACATCTGAGCTGCCTAGGGAAATTGGTAATCTGTCTCAACTGGTGATCTTCAATATCTCATCGAATTTTCTTACTGGGAGGATTCCGTCTCAAATTGTTAAATGCAAGAAACTTCAACGACTTGATTTCAGCCGGAATAACTTTGTTAATGCTTTGCCAGATGAACTTGGAAACCTTATGCAACTTGAACTTCTCAAGCTTTCTGAAAATAAATTCTCGGGGAAGATACCTGCAAGTATAGGAAACCTTTCTCGTTTGACTGAGCTACAAATGGGGGGAAATTTACTTTCTGGTGATATACCTCCAGAATTAGGTGCTCTTTCAAGCTTGCAGATTGCAATGAATCTCAGCAATAATAACTTTTCTGGGAGTATACCACCCCATCTTGGAAATCTTAACGTACTTGAACTCCTCCTGCTTAATAACAACCATTTGAGTGGTGAAATTCCCAGCTCATTTGAAAATCTTTCGAGCTTATTGGGCTGCAATTTCTCTTATAATGACCTTACTGGTCCTTTACCCTCCATTCCGCTATTCCAGAATATGGCTACTAGTAGCTTTATTGGAAATAAAGGGTTTTGTGGTAGGCCTCTTCCCAGTTGCAGTGCAGATACATCTTCTCCCTCACTTTCATCATTGGAAGGCGTGAATGCTCCTACAGGTAGAATCATAACAATAGCTGCTGCTACAACAGGTGGTGTCTCTTTTATTCTAATAATTATTATCCTATATTTCATAAGACGTCCTGTTGAGACAGTTCCTTCGTTGCAAGATAATGGGGTACCGTCCCTTGATTCGGACATATACTTCCCTCCAAAGGAAGGGTTCACTTTCCAAGATATAGTTGAGGCCACGAACAATTTTGATGATAGCTATGTTGTTGGAAGGGGTGCGTGTGGAACAGTATACAAGGCAACCATGTATTCTGGGAAAACGGTTGCTGTTAAAAGGTTAGCATCTAATAGGGAGGGTAACAACATTGAGAACAGTTTCCGAGCTGAGATTTTAACCCTTGGAAAGATCAGGCATCGCAATATTGTGAAGCTTTATGGTTTTTGCTATCACCGTGGCTCTAATCTTCTTATCTATGAATATATGGAAAGGGGAAGCTTGGGAGAATTGCTTCATGGGGCCTCTAGTGTCTTAGAGTGGCCAATCCGCTTCATGATTGCTCTTGGAGCTGCTGAAGGTCTTGCTTATTTACATCATGATTGCAAGCCGAGGATTATTCACCGCGACATTAAGTCCAACAATATTCTACTTGATGAAAACTTTGAAGCCCATGTCGGTGATTTTGGCTTGGCAAAAGTGATTGATATGCCTCAGTCTAAATCAATGTCAGCTATTGCAGGATCATATGGATATATTGCTCCCGGTAAGCTCCCTGTTTCACAATATAAGATAAGACGCACTACATACGTTTACTGTTTATGAATAGACATTTTTACATCCATATATTTATGCATATTTAAGATCTTTTAGTGATTACGGATGTCTTGTTGCATTCAGTACATATTAATTTTTGCAAGCGCCAGCCAATCCCACATGAGTTTTGATTCTTTCTTTGTTACATTTTTTATCTTCATACTATTTTGGAAAATTAAGGTCTTTTTACTATCAGTTGATGTCCATGAAGCAGAGAGAAAAAGGGACGTAAAAGATTGTTGTGGGGAGCTGAGTCTCCAATGCAGATTTATTTTGCCTAATGTTCTTAAAATGATTTATGTTATGTGTGTTTTTGATAATTTATATGCTTTTCTGCATTTCTTGGGGAAAGAGTTTGTGATGGCTTCAGAAAGTTGGATCTCCCAGAAAAGTTAGTTGGCTCAATATATCAGAGATATTTGGAGCATGATATTATATTTACTGAATTTGATTCTTTTTCTTTTTTTTGAAATGTAAAAGTTATATTCTTTAGCATAAAGAGTTTAGTAGTTTACAAATGAATCCAACCATGATGAAACTAAACAGCCCACTCATGATGCTTATTACTGAAACAAGGAACAAGAAGTAAACATCCTATAAGATGAATCTTGGAATAAACAAGGGGAATAAACACCAGAAAGGAAAGCAGAAGGCTGAATTGATTCCTAGTCTTATAATCCTGAAACTGTATTGATTCGTTTTGATGTTAACTCTTTGGGATTTCTTTGAATGACTAGAGTTTCATCTCTCTATGGAGATACAATACAGATTAGAGAGTTAAGGACATCTGTTTTGGCTGGGCTTCCTTCATGTTTCTTAGCTTCTTGCTCTATTTTTTTCCGAATAAATATCAAAATTGATCATTGACCTCTATTTCACTGCAGAATATGCCTACACTATGAAGGTTACCGAAAAATGTGACATTTATAGCTATGGGGTAGTTCTATTGGAGTTGCTTACTGGTAGAACGCCTGTACAGCATCTGGATCAAGGAGGCGATCTTGTCACATGGATGAGACATTATATTCGAAGCCATTCATTCACATATAAGATTTTTGATGAACGATTGAATCTTGAAGATAAAAATATGGTTAATCACATGATTGCTGTCTTAAAAATTGCTATAATGTGCACAAGTCTATCACCCACAAAGCGACCTTCAATGCGGGAAGTTGTGTCTATGCTTATTGAATCTAGTGAAGGAGAAGGAGAAGGAGAGTATGTTTTACCAATAACTTACGATCTTCCTTTGAAGGATACCTCATGAAAGTATGTGACAATTTTCCAGCTTTGTTTTTTAACTGAGATTATTTCTTTTCACACTGATTCTGCACGTTATTTGTGTAAGGCCTTCTGTACATCTTTCTTAGAAGAAAGTACATACTGCACATTTCTGTGATTACATTACGGGAGTAATTGATTTTACTCCCTGAATCTGTATTTCATTTTGTTTTAAACAGTACAGGAAATTGTATACAGTTGACAGTTAGTACAATTTATATACATGTATATATATCTCAAAGGTTTTGATGATGAATTCTTTACCCAGCTGGATGCATCTTGTGCTATTTTGCACTTCACCTCTTCTTCACTGTCTCTTTCTTCTTTTATCTTTCAGTCCTCTTGTTATTTTGTATTTACTGTAAAAGTTGTATGCAACAAAAAAATAATACACTAAGATATTTTATTCGGCGAGGTTTACCAAGATTTATTGTTTGAAAATTTTGATGACAAATCTAAATTATTAGTTTGATTTGTCATCCGTACTGTTCCAAAGATATTCACTCGACCATGTAACATTATTATTACTGAAGTAAAATCCATTTTCTCTTATCGACCACAAACAAAGAAGAGGCCTTTGACACCGCCTTTCGTCTCTGGTCACCACAAAAGCATCAAAATGTTTCCTTCTGGTTCCCCATTGTGCATCGCAGTAAAAGAGAGTAGTCCCCCATATGTTAATTTTAAACTTCCATGAGAACTCCTGATTTGGTGTCAGAATCTTGTCACCGAGATCATCGTCCTTGGATTTGCAATGTACCGATAATTGTGGGTTACTAGTAGGTAAATTATCAATGATGTGAACCCGATATGTGAAGAGTATACGATTTTCATCGAACGCTAACGCTGCGGTTTGAAAGCAAATAGTGAGGCTTAATGCCCATGTTAGCAGAACCAGAAAGTTCCCTGGTAGAGTGCTCATCTATTTATTATAATGCACTACTGATTCCTCTCTTTCTTCATGCTGCTAGACTTTTGAATTTCTTTTTTCTCTTTCTGTTTAGCTTATGTTCTTCAATTTATATAAACATAGAGTTGGGAGATACGTAGATGCTTATTTGAAAGATAATGAATGCTAAATCTAATCATATCTTCCATTTGTCATTCCAAAAAAAATCTGATCACACTTTACTTAGTTGGATTTTACTTAAAATTTCTACAATAAGTTCGTTCAAAAACTTGGTAATTTTATTAATCTTTCTTTTTTCTGTAATATAGCATGTTTTTATTATCTATGCTATTCTTGTAAAGATCCTCGGAAAAGGGTAGGTATCGGTTTTTTTTTTTAATTTAATTTTCAATTTTATTTTTAACTTGGTAATCGAGTTAATATTATCTTTTGTAAAATTTTATTTAATAAATAAAAGATAATATTTATTTTAATATAAGAGAAAGATTTATATATAAGTAAATGATCTCCAACTTTACTCTGATAAAAGTACTTATTACAAAAATATCTCTATTTTTGAGTATATATATGTGTATGTATGTATGTATGTATTATGCTTAAAACAGAAACATCAAAAACAATAAATAAAAAAAAAAAAAGAATTACAAGGAAGATTTTATTATTCCATAGCAGAAGAAGGTACGTATAAAGATTACAGAGAAGAATTTATTAGTAATGAAGAAAAGAAATTGACTTCGGGTCATAGTTATAATTGTGTATTCCAGTCATATTCAGCTAAAAAATTAGGTTTAGTCCAGTCGAAGCAAAGATCACCGTATAGACTAGTTTTCTTGCAAGGTCCAGACTGGTTTATCTCCCACAAACAAGTGTGATCATTACACCTATTATAATCCCTGCGATACATATAAATATCAAACGACTCAACCCGTCCATTCCATGAAAAGTTGCAGTAGAAAAGTGTAGTCCCCCAAAAATTTGGACGAAACACAAACTCCCAGCTCTCTTGAGACGCAAGTCGTTTTGCTCCGAGATCGTCGTCCTTCGATTTGCATTGGAAAATTAGGTCAACACCCTCTCCAAGAGTGTTCTTGATATGAATGTGTTCTTTACGTAGGAAAAATGACCATGCATCGCACGAATCTATAAACAATACAAATACAACAAGGTTGAATAATGATAGGGTTTTCGGACTGCAACCTATTTTCATTTTCGTTTTCTCAGTAATTTCTCTCTAGCTGTTATTCACTACATATATACACATATGTGTTTGCTGATTTTGGTAAGTAGATTAGAATTATACAAGATTCACTCTCGTAAAAAGAATAATGCTATAAATTAGCTAGAGATCAGACTGATTGTTTGAGCAAAATATCTGCAAGTTACTAGTTTTGGACTTAATTTTCCCTAGAAGAAAAAAAAAAGAATATCATAATAAACATATGATTGCACTCTGCTCTTGAATGCTAATTAAATGGTGAATTAAATCAAACCCACAACTAAACGAGGATCCATGTTCTTAATGGTGATCATAATAATCCATAATTTCTACAGTTTTTTTTTTTTTTTTTTTTTTTGTTTTCAATTGCTTAATTTGCTCTCTGTTTATTGACCAGATAAATGCATATAATAATGTATGTATATATTTGCTGTTTGTGATTAGTTGTTGTTGTGCAAAATCTAATTATTTGTACATTAATTTCTTCCTTGTAATTCGATAATATTGGCGTAATTATTTGTCTTGTATTTTTAGAATTGTTCCTCAATAATTTAATGTAGTTTCCTTTTTACTGGTTACTATGTGAGAGAGAGAGAGGAAAAAAATCATGTTGCAATATAATATAATTGGCCTTATACATCTCAAGACTTTCCTATTATTTTTTTGATAATCTTTTAAATTAAACCGATTTCGTATATTTCATTTAAATCGGATTTTGATAATTTAAATCAAACTTACTTCTTTCAAAAATTAGTAGATATATAAGAATAAAGTGATAAGATGTTTGTAAATTTATATTATAAATATATGCACGTATAGCTATTGAAAAAATAAAACCATCCTTAAAAGAAAAGAAAATGAAATCCATTAGGTTGGAAATTGAGAGTAAAATTATTCTTAAAAGAAAAACTTTTTATTCTATTCAAAAACTCATATGTACATTTTAAATTTTGAACATATTTTTTTTATAATTACGGGACACATACTTGTTCATCATAATATATATTTTTAGTAAAAATATATAATTCAACTCAAACATACAATCTCTTATAAAGAAAATAAGGTTTAAACTATTCAAACAGATAGTTTATAGTTTTTGAGTCCTTTCGGCCCAAACACCATTAGCCCAATATATTTTTACATCCAAACACTACTAAACATTTATCAAATTGTAAGTAAAAAATTCTATTTTTTTTTTATTAAATATATACATATACATATACATATATATATATATAGAGAGAGAGAGAGGTACTTAATAAGGTGTGTGAAAATGCAACACAAAATCATAATAAAAATTTTATTAGAGTACGATGGATCTGTGTCCAACAGCATGTTAAGTTTACTTAGAACTAGGCCATGTATACTTGAGCTTCCCATTTTACTGTTATCATAGCTGATGAAGAAACCTTCTTTTTTCACCTGCCAATAAACATTCTCATGCCCTGCATCTCTCGTCGGCATATACACGTACCAATTCGAGAATTCAGCACCGCTGGCGGGTTTTGCCCCACATTTACGTGTATCTTTGAGGAATACTTTCCATCGCAAGTGATCTCCGGGCTTCACCATGTTCCCCGGATCCTCCCCCAGCGGACACCCGATGTTTATCGTATCTGGCATTTGATTCAACGCGTCTATGTCTGCTTTCCCGGCTTCATCACCTTCTACTATCAACAGGCACATTGCCAGTGCAAGGCCCAGCAGCAAGCACTTGTTGGTGCTCATTTTCTTTTATGGTATGTCTTCTCTCTTAATAGGGTTTTCAGAAATAATATACAACGTGTGAATATATATAATAATTCTCACTATTTTAGTACGTGGGTGTGAATGAATCAATGGTTTTTAATGTATAGTGTTACAGATTTGGAAAATAATCTTCTAACGGATTTAGGAATAAATATCTCTAGATTTCTTAACATATTTAGAAAATTATAATTTAAAGATTTGTTCAAACTGTCTAAAGTGTTTCAATTAAAACCAGATTTATTAAAATCAATTTGGTATTAAAAATATTGATTAATATAAAAAGAAAAAAAAAATAATATCCTCTTTTAATTTAGAATTAATACTATCAGAATCACATGAAATAACTTTTAAAAAAATTAAATCATATAAGATACTGTGTTCACATTTATTTCGATATCTTCTACAATCAATTAAAAAAAGAAAAATTACTACTTCGATTCTCATTCAAACACATTTTATATTTTTATCTTGAATAATATGAATCAATCCAAACACAAGCAATGTATTAAGGCCACGAGGCTTACTCAAATTTGATTATTTTTACGGGACTATTTCATAAAGTACTTTTTCAACTATAGGAGAAAATAGTATGCAGTTTACCAAATTAGTAGTTTTCAATTTGCCATATCTTCAAATATAAATCTTTACTAAAACTAGACTATAATAATATTTAAAAGTTTGAATTTCACCGAGAATATAAAATCTGTTATTTTATGAATATAATTTGTAATATTTAATTTAATATAAGTTACGACATACCTCACTAATATATTGTTAGAGTTATACTGATTAAGTTTAGCAAAATTTCAGTAAATTTATTATACTTTTTTGACAAAATAAACATTGTTAAATTCTCTTAAAACACGACCAATAGTTAAGTGTCCTTTATATTTTTTAAAGATTAAAAATAATTAATATAACATAAAAAATTTAAGTCGTAATAATTGAGATAAAAAAAATCAATAATTAGGATGAAATTATTTTTAATGTTAGAATTAAGTCTAAAAATTTCTTTGTTACCACTTAATTCTTATTTGAACTTATAAAATTATTCCAATTTGCAATTTTTTTTTTTATACAAACATAAAATTTTTAAAAGAAAACACATACTCTTTTTTTTTTTTTACATATTTATTATAGAGTTTATAAATTAAAAAATATTTTAAAAAAAATCTAGAAAATCATGTACTGAAATATATTTTTTTGTAAGTTCATCCAAAAGTTTATAACGAAAGAACATTTTAAGATTAAAATGTAACATAATCCATAATACACGGACTTAATTGACAATTTATCTTAATTAATATTGTAAATTAATAATTAATATAGAAAAATTGCTTCGTTAATTTAACTTTTCGAGAGTGATATT